CATGGGGTTGGAGTGCGCTCTCTGCCGGTAATAGCGCTTCTGCGGCATGGACACACTCATCCTGCTGCTCCGCGGGAAGACGCTCACTGTGTGCCGGGTTAACTCAAAATAAAGCGTGCTGTCTTCACTCTCGAAACTTCACGTGTGATGTTTCTTCTTCGTCTGACAGACAGCGCTGAAGCAGGAGCGCGTTCACCCCCTGCTGGACATGCGCAGATCTGCTTCGGGACGTCATGAGCAATGTGTGACCCTGGAGCACAAAACCAGTCATAAGGGTCCATTTTTTACAATTGAGATGTATACATCATCTGAAATCTGAATAAATCATCTTTCCATTGATGTATGGTTTGTTAGGATCGGACAATATTTGGCTGAGATGCAACTATTTGAAAATCTGGAATCTGAGGGTGCAAAAAAATCTAAATATTGAGAAAATCATCTTTAAAGTTGTTCAAATGAAGTTCTTAGCAATGCATATAACTAATCAAACATTCAGTTTTGATATATTTACGGCAGGAAATTTACAAAATATCTTCATGGAGCATGATCTTTACTTAATATCCTAATGATTTTTTGCATAATAAAAAATCTATAATTGTGATCCATACAATGTAATGTTGGCTATTGCTACAAATATCCCCCAGCGACTTAACACTGCTTTTGTGCTGCAGGGTCACATATGAGAGTCTGTAAAATATCTGTAAAATCAAAATGTTTTGACAACTTTTTGTCATGTGGGATGTGAGAGTTTCATGCCAAATAAACCAAAGGCATAGCAGGAGTTCAGAAAAGTAAGTTTTTCTGAAAAAGTAAAATGGTGAAAAATACACACTTCATGTCCACTTATGCACTATGTACTCAAGAATGTAGTGTATGAATTATAAGGTTATTTTGACATTTATAACCAGAGTCTGAAACGTAATTAAAGCTGCGACAGTTGAGTGCATGAAGTGTTCAACATTACACACTTCGTTTTTCAGTTAGTTAAGTGCATCATCCGGGTAAAGTGCACTTTTTCTTTTTGGAATTTCCCGTGTGAACACACTAATTGCATTATTTATATTAACTATCAGTGTTGGAAGGTTACTTTGGAAATGTTACAGGTCACAGATTACAAGTTACCCTATTTAAAATGTAATAAGTAGTGTAACTATTTCAATTACTTTATTAAAGTAATGTAACTAATTACATGTGATTACTTTTTGATTACCTTTCTAAATTTCCAACGAATGTTTTATTTTAAAAATGATTTTAAAACATTTAAGGCTGGGTTTACCTTACAGTGGTGCTCAACACTGATTACTGTCAGACTATACATATATACAGTGGGTACGGAAAGTATTCAGACCCCCTTAAATTTTTCACTCTTTGTTATATTGCAGCCATTTGCTAAAATCATTTAAGTTAATTTTTTTTCCTCATTAATGTACACACAGCTTAATTTGAAAGCACAGCCACCACAAAATCAGACTTTAGCACTTCATTTGAGATCATTCTGAGGATAAATACAGATTTAAAATCATAAGAAATAGTTTAATAGCTATGTTACTGTTTTGGAAATCAAATCTTTGCATAGATATTATAGGAAACAGAAAAAAAACAGTTTAATTCTTAAAAAAAAATCTTAATTTAATTCTTGAAAATAAAGCACCTACATAAACCCAAATACGAAATAAAACAGTTATTGAATAAGCATGTGTCCAAAACTCCTGAAACATTAGTGTCTCATATTTTAGAGCAGTCAATGCAATTTGGGAAAGAAATCAATTAAATCTGTATGTGTGTGTGTGTGTGTGTGTGTGTGTGAGTGTGTCTTATTATAAAACACAACGCCGCTGATTCAGCGTCAGACTGACACGTGACTCTCCTGCACTCAGGACTCTTATTATGAAACGCGCCGCCGCTGATTCAGCGTCAGACTGACACGTGACTCTCCTGCTCTCCGGACTCTTATTATGAAACGCTTCGCCGCTGATTCAGCATCAGACTGACACGTGACTCTCCTGCTCTCCGGACTCTTATTATGAAACGCTTCGCCGCTGATTCAGCATCAGACTGACACGTGACTCTCCTGCTCTCCGGACTCTTATTATGAAACGCTTCGCCGCTGATTCAGCATCAGACTGACACGTGACTCTCCTGCTCTCCGGACTCTTATTATGAAACGCTTCGCCGCTGATTCAGCATCAGACTGACACGTGACTCTCCTGCTCTCCGGACTCTTATTATGAAACGCTTCGCCGCTGATTCAGCATCAGACTGACACGTGACTCTCCTGCTCTCCGGACTCTTATTATGAAACGCTTCGCCGCTGATTCAGCATCAGACTGACACGTGACTCTCCTGCTCTCCGGACTCTTATTATGAAATGCGCCGCGGCTGATTCAGCATCAGACTGACACGTGACTCTCCTGCTCTCGGGACTCTTATTATGAAACGCGCCGCCGCTGATTCAGCGTCAGACTGACACGTGACTCTCCTGCTCTCCGGACTCTTATTATGAAACGCGCCGCCGCTGATTCAGCGTCAGACTGACACGTGACTCTCCTGCTCTCCGGACTCTTATTATGAAACGCGCCGCCGCTGATTCAGCGTCAGACTGACACGTGACTCTCCTGCTCTCCGGACTCTTATTATGAAACGCGCCGCCGCTGATTCAGCGTCAGACTGACACGTGACTCTCCTGCTCTCCGGACTCTTATTATGAAACGCGCCGCCGCTGATTCAGCGTCAGACTGACACGTGACTCTCCTGCTCTCCGGACTCTTATTATGAAACGCGCCGCCGCTGATTCAGCGTCAGACTGACACGTGACTCTCCTGCTCTCCGGACTCTTATTATGAAACGCGCCGCCGCTGATTCAGCGTCAGACTGACACGTGACTCTCCTGCTCTCCGGACTCTTATTATGAAACGCGCCGCCGCTGATTCAGCGTCAGACTGACACGTGACTCTCCTGCTCTCCGGACTCTTATTATGAAACGCGCCGCCGCTGATTCAGCGTCAGACTGACACGTGACTCTCCTGCTCTCCGGACTCTTATTATGAAACGCGCCGCCGCTGATTCAGCGTCAGACTGACACGTGACTCTCCTGCTCTCCGGACTCTTATTATGAAACGCGCCGCCGCTGATTCAGCGTCAGACTGACACGTGACTCTCCTGCTCTCCGGACTCTTATTATGAAACGCGCCGCCGCTGATTCAGCGTCAGACTGACACGTGACTCTCCTGCTCTCCGGACTCTTATTATGAAACGCGCCGCCGCTGATTCAGCGTCAGACTGACACGTGACTCTCCTGCTCTCCGGACTCTTATTATGAAACGCGCCGCCGCTGATTCAGCGTCAGACTGACACGTGACTCTCCTGCTCTCCGGACTCTTATTATGAAACGCGCCGCCGCTGATTCAGCGTCAGACTGACACGTGACTCTCCTGCTCTCCGGACTCTTATTATGAAACGCGCCGCCGCTGATTCAGCGTCAGACTGACACGTGACTCTCCTGCTCTCCGGACTCTTATTATGAAACGCGCCGCCGCTGATTCAGCGTCAGACTGACACGTGACTCTCCTGCTCTCCGGACTCTTATTATGAAACGCGCCGCCGCTGATTCAGCGTCAGACTGACACGTGACTCTCCTGCTCTCCGGACTCTTATTATGAAACGCGCCGCCGCTGATTCAGCGTCAGACTGACACGTGACTCTCCTGCTCTCCGGACTCTTATTATGAAACGCGCCGCCGCTGATTCAGCGTCAGACTGACACGTGACTCTCCTGCTCTCCGGACTCTTATTATGAAACGCGCCGCCGCTGATTCAGCGTCAGACTGACACGTGACTCTCCTGCTCTCCGGACTCTTATTATGAAACGCGCCGCCGCTGATTCAGCGTCAGACTGACACGTGACTCTCCTGCTCTCCGGACTCTTATTATGAAACGCGCCGCCGCTGATTCAGCGTCAGACTGACACGTGACTCTCCTGCTCTCCGGACTCTTATTATGAAACGCGCCGCCGCTGATTCAGCGTCAGACTGACACGTGACTCTCCTGCTCTCCGGACTCTTATTATGAAACGCGCCGCCGCTGATTCAGCGTCAGACTGACACGTGACTCTCCTGCTCTCCGGACTCTTATTATGAAACGCGCCGCCGCTGATTCAGCGTCAGACTGACACGTGACTCTCCTGCTCTCCGGACTCTTATTATGAAACGCGCCGCCGCTGATTCAGCGTCAGACTGACACGTGACTCTCCTGCTCTCCGGACTCTTATTATGAAACGCGCCGCCGCTGATTCAGCGTCAGACTGACACGTGACTCTCCTGCTCTCCGGACTCTTATTATGAAACGCGCCGCCGCTGATTCAGCGTCAGACTGACACGTGACTCTCCTGCTCTCCGGACTCTTATTATGAAACGCGCCGCCGCTGATTCAGCGTCAGACTGACACGTGACTCTCCTGCTCTCCGGACTCTTATTATGAAACGCGCCGCCGCTGATTCAGCGTCAGACTGACACGTGACTCTCCTGCTCTCCGGACTCTTATTATGAAACGCGCCGCCGCTGATTCAGCGTCAGACTGACACGTGACTCTCCTGCTCTCCGGACTCTTATTATGAAACGCGCCGCCGCTGATTCAGCGTCAGACTGACACGTGACTCTCCTGCTCTCCGGACTCTTATTATGAAACGCGCCGCCGCTGATTCAGCGTCAGACTGACACGTGACTCTCCTGCTCTCCGGACTCTTATTATGAAACGCGCCGCCGCTGATTCAGCGTCAGACTGACACGTGACTCTCCTGCTCTCCGGACTCTTATTATGAAACGCGCCGCCGCTGATTCAGCGTCAGACTGACACGTGACTCTCCTGCTCTCCGGACTCTTATTATGAAACGCGCCGCCGCTGATTCAGCGTCAGACTGACACGTGACTCTCCTGCTCTCCGGACTCTTATTATGAAACGCGCCGCCGCTGATTCAGCGTCAGACTGACACGTGACTCTCCTGCTCTCCGGACTCTTATTATGAAACGCTTCGCCGCTGTCACCTTCGCTGTCCTCATGGCTGGAGATTACAGCAGAGCTTCAGTTCATTAACCGAGGATCTTCATCGGGCAGCGCATCCTCATCCTCAGGTGACTGTGTGAGTGAATGTGTTCATTCAGTGCTGGTTCATGTGTCAGGGTCGAGCAAATAACCCCCGCGGGGTCCGAGAGGGAAGTGTGGTAAACTGCAGGTGCAGCTCTTATGCTGCTGACAGAAACAGCGATGAATCTAAACACAGGTGCTCTGCGTAAGCAAACCTAGAACAAGAAAAACGGGTTATGTTGAGAATGGAATTTGCCTGGTTTAGACTTTATGAATGCTTCTGGACAGCGTTGAGCTGGTTTTATCTCACATCAGCGGGACTGTCTTCTTCATCTTCATGTGTTTGTTCCTCCTCTTCCGTCGTTGTGTAACTCAGGAAAACTGTGACACACACAAAGTCTCGTCTTCAAGTAATGGTAGCCCTTAAAAATGTTCATCCAGCACCTGAATGATTGATTGATTGATTTATGTGCAAGCTGCTGGAACTAGAGGATGGTAATAATTGTAATGTCTGTTTTTGTTGGGAACCTGGACTTTTAGGAAGTGCAGTAAAACCAGTGTTAATAACACATGGGTGAAAGTGTGGGCTGTGAATACAGTGAGGTGTGTGTGAGAGTCTGGGGGTGTGTGGTGTGTGTGTGTGTGTGTGTGTGTGAGAATCTGGGCGTGTGTTGTGTGTGTGTGTGTGAGAATCTGGGCGTGTGTTGTGCCGTTGGACTTATCAGAGATGTTTCTTGCTGCTTTCCACAGATTAAAGCGGCGAGGTCACGAGCACTTCCTCCATTTCCCACAATCCTTCACTGCAGATCAGTTGAATGAAAGCTCACGCTGTGAAGTTCTTCATCTCACTTTGGATTACTAATCTTCTCTTGGGTTTGTCTGTGAGTAGACATTGCTTTCTCTCTCTCACACAGAACACTAATATGGATAGTAGTACTTTTTTTGCTTAAAAAAAGCAGAGTGCATTTGTCTAAAAGCTTTTCAAAATAGAATAAATCTTGGTTATTGATGTTACATTCTTTTAGCCCAAAGAAAATTTAAATAATAAATGCGGTTGGTCGGAAACACATTCAAGGGTCATGGATTTTGTTATGGGTCAATGATACACATTCTTATTGTTCCTGAATGTCAGAAAAATGCAACATTACTACAATGATGATCAAATTAACACTGATACAATCTCAGGCAATATCCAGAAATAGAGCAACTGGCTTTGTTTCAAAAGATTTTGGATGCGAAAAACGCACAAACAGGCTCACACACACACACACACACATGCATGCACACACACGCACACACACGCGCACACACACACACACACATGCATGCACACACACGCGCACTCACACACACACACACATACAGAGATCATATAATAATGGCCATTCGTGCGGCTGCATGTAGGTGCAGAGTTCCGTCTTTCTAACTGATAGATTCAATGTATTTGATTGTTAAAATGACTAAATATTCAGGTTTTTGTCACCACTCACACACACACACACACACACACACACGCGCACATACACACACACGCGCGCACACACACACACGCGCACACACACACATGCATGCACACACACGCGCACTCACACACACACACACATACAGAGATCATATAATAATGGCCATTCGTGTAGCTGCATGTAGGTGCAGAGTTCCGTCTTTCTAACTGATAGATTCAATGTATTTGATTGTTAAAATGACTAAATATTCAGGTTTTTGTCACCACTGTCAGATAAAAATAAGAGAAAAAAAGAGAAGTCAGGAGGTTGCATCAAAGCATAGCTCAGTAGCGTAGAACATATACTGAGATACATAAACATAGTGTAATTTTTCTGAGTACAAGGTTTAGTTTTCCAGTGTTGCACCCCGTCTCTCAAGAATCTGAGCAGTGTGTGTGGTCTGATCGTGTGAGGTTTGCTCTGAACTGCTGTATTCATGTCAAATGTCTCTCAGTTAATGCTGTAATTACTGCTCCCGAGGGGAAAACCTTGAGGTGCACCTAAAACAGGCGTCTGCAGGTGTGCCATTGAGATTTCATTCGTTTACAAGGGAAACAAATAGTATAAAATGAAAGATTAAACTCTGTTTTTATGTCTACATGTTATGTCATGTATGTAATAATTAATGATATGCAGGGGTTTTATTTCTTAACTGTGCTTGTTAGTTAACATGGACTACGATGGGAAATATTTCTACAGCATTTATTAATCAATGCGAAGTTCAACATCTTCTAATACAATGTGAACTAACATAAACCATGAACAGTTGTGTTTGTATGAACTAAGAACGGTTCATAAATGCTGTAAAAATATTTTGACCATTGTTAGTTCAAACTAAAATGACTGTGAAACATGTTTTATTGGATTGCGCTGTTTTTAATGTAAATAAACAACGGTTTCATTCAGAGGTGTGTCTCACTGATGCGTCACCTGAACGTATTTTAGCATTTTCGTCTAGAAAAATGTCTTTTATAACCTTTTGTTAATTGTATACCTTGTATAATTTATTCAGAGGTCGCCATAAAAATAGCATTGATGCTGGCATGGCGTTAAAAAGTGAATAAATAAATAAATCATTGTTAGTTAATGCATTAACAAATGAGACTTCATTGTAAAGTTTTATCATAAAATATATTGTGCAGTGAAATGTGTATCTAGATTCTGGACTGTGCATTAATTCATAAAGGATCAACAGAGGAATAATAATGAAAGCCCAAGTAAATCTGCAGCAGTGCAAATACTGTATGACTGTATACAGTAAAACCGAGACGGCAGAAACAAGTATTAAGATGCACAGAGAACGTGCAAAAACATGTAAGTAGAGTTGTTAGTGGATTAAATGGGTGCACGCTGATTCATGGCATGTCTGGTTTGTTTGTGTAGAGTCCAGTTAACAGCCTGTAAGTGTGTTCTCCATCAGTCTCTGTGTTTTCTGTCTTTCAGACGCGCAGAGGCACTCGTGGAGCTCATGAAGACTGAACGGGATGGGGACGGTGTGCTGGAAGGTGAGACGCGATCGTGCGAGTCTCTAGGGCTCCTGTTCGAAATGCATCAGGAAAACCAGTGCTGCCTCAGTTCTTAAAGCTTAAGGAAATGCAGTTATTGAAGTTGTTTTTACACTAGTTTGGACTTCAGTAATACTGCTGGCCACACGGTAACTCACTAGACGTTTAGAGAAGTCTTCCCGTGACTCTTTACTACAGATCAGCCCATATGGGCTTTTTGATGGCTGATATTTTAGAGAGCAGGTGGCCAGTGCTTGATATAAAGCAAATGTGTGACCCTGGAGCACAGAAGCAGTCATGAGCAGCACAGGTGTATTCGTAGCAATAGCCAACAATACATTGTATGGGTCAAAATGATCAATTTTTCTTTTATGCCAAAAATCATTAGGATATTAAGTAAAGATGTTCCATGAAGATATTTTGTACATTTCCATCCGTAAATATATCAAAACTGAATGTTTGATTAGTTATATGCATTGCTAAGAACTTCATTTGAACAACTTTAAAGATGATTTTCTCAATATTTAGATGTTTTTGCACCCTCAGATTCCAGATTTTCAAATAGTTGTATCTCAGCCAAATATTGTCCGATCCTAACAAACCATACATCAATGAAAGCTGATTTATTCAGCTTTCAGATGATGCATGCTTACAAAAAAATGCACCCTTATGGCTGGTTTTGTGCTCCAGGGTCACATACATGTATGATATCATAACAGAAAACCCGATTGGCTGATGATTAAAAATTCAAAACGCTGGCTGACTTGTTAGCCGAACACTACTGGTTATATAGGCTTCTTGAACGCTAACTAGTAGTGTAATTAAATGAGTGTGTGTGAAGGTGCGTTTCGTAATTAGCTGTCGTAAGCCTCAGAGGAAGTGATCTCGGAGTTTACTGCCGTCGTTTCCTCGTGTTTTACTGTGCTCATGATATCCCATCCGTGTTTATGATGTGTCATATTCTCTGATGAACTGACTGGCTCTGCTGGATCCTCACGAGCAGATCCTGGGCGCTCCTGGGTTTGATGATAATGTCAGTCATGGGTGTAAATGTTGGCTGTTGTTATATTACAGGAGTGTTCAGCGGCTCGTGTGACTGAAGCGTGTTTCTCCATCACATCGCTCTGAACACTCTTGTGAATCTCTCCAGCTCGCGTGTCTGTCTGATGTGTGTTGTACCGCTGTGTTTCAGAGAGCAGCTCCCAGGAGCCTGAGCTCTACAGCCCTGCGTCTCCCGGCCCGCAGCAGGAGCCCATCTCCACGTACTTCGAGGAGAAGGTTCCCATCCCTGAGGATGACATGACTAAGGTAGCTCAGACGGAACGACTGAACGATCATTCTGTTCAACAATACAATCCGCATTTGCTCCGTTTATATTTTTGACTTCAGACTTCTCATCAAATACACAAGTAAACCAAACGAATGTTATTATAATAAGCCAAGAGTACATCAGTCCAGATGATTCCATGTTGAAGGAATACTTCACCCAAAAATAAAAGGAGCTATAAATGTGCTCACCCTCAGAGATCAGGATGAGTTTGTTTCTTCATCAGGTTTGGAGAAATGTAGCACTGCATCAGTGTCTCAGCAATGGATGCTCTGCAGTGAATGGGTGCCGTCAGAATGAGAGCTGATAAAAACATCACAATAATCCACAGCACTCCAGTCTATCAGTTAACATCTGGAGAAGACATTTGAACTAAAATACGAGTCCATAATCCATAATAACGTCTTAATGCTGGATGTGTTTGATGGACTGGAGTGCTGTGGATTATTGTGATGTGTTTATCAGCTGTTTGGACTCTCAGGCCCTGTTTACACTAGTGCATTATAGTTTTAAAGCGCATACATTTAGCTATGGTTACACCTGTCGTTAACACAAAGCTCCACTTTTGAAAACACTGCAGACCCTGTTTTAGATTGAAAAGGGGTTGCGTTTCAGTGTAAACGGAGCGAAACGGAGCCCACATTCGCTCTGCGTATCCTTTAACATCATGCTCATTGTTGTACCCATAGATATGTATAGGTAGATTCCCCATTCGACCGCTCCAAGCACGCATCTAAATAAGAGGGCATCTACCTCTACATATCTATGGTGGTTCCTGCATGAATGGTCATGTGACTTGCATTTTCGGTTGTGTTGTGTAGATCGTTTCTGAAACGCAGTGAAAGTGCCAGTGTAGACGAGGATCGTTTTCAAAACGCACTAGTGTAAACAGGGCCTCAATCTGACGGCACCCATTCACTGCAGAGCATCCATTGCTGAAACAGTGATGCAGTGACACATTTCTCCAAATCTGATGAAGAAACAAACTCGGATGAGTTGAGACGAGTCCCTGATTTAATTATCAGACACATTCTGCAGACATATCTTGCCATATTAAATGACCTTTCACCATCATTATCCAGAAATGTGATAGGAAACAAATGTGATAGGCAGGTTATGGCACTGCAGTTTTATGAGCGTGACCACCGTTATCATGTGCGTGTGTGTGTGTGTGTGTGTGTGTGAGAGAGAGAAAGCTGATGGGTAAGAAAAGTGTTTTATCAGATTGTGATGTTTATAATCATTAACTCATGAATCCAAACAACAAGACGGACCTTGATTTCCTCAAACAAGAGGAAGAGAAACAAGCGGAAAAATAAACAAATGCAAAGTGTTACGAAAACAGCACTGGCATCCCGCTCTGTGGACACTCGTCATGTGATCTTCAGAGGACAAAACTCAAACCGCTGTCTTTATTACCTGTGACCTCAAGGCTGCTGTGGGACCATCAGTGTTGTCACGGACACGTTCTCCGGCTCAGAGCCGTTCTGGGTCTCAGATCTCAGACCCAGCTGCTGTCGAGAGGAATGTGATGAACTCGTTGGTTAACATGTGTTACTCTTCCTCTCTCTAGCTGTTTAGCTTTCGTAAACTCTGGGCCTTCACTGGGCCGGGCTTCCTGATGAGCATCGCCTATCTGGACCCTGGGAACATAGAGTCTGATCTTCAGTCTGGGGCTAGAGCGGGTTTCAAGGTGAGGCATGTCCAGCATCTGCACTCAGCTGGACAACTCTGCGGTCAGTCCTAATGTTGCTGATCACATTCACACAGTTTCTGTGTAGAGATGCAGTCATCACCGGATGGAAATCGTAAAGAATAGGATGATTCTGCCGCCAGTTGTGATCCCATTTAATGAATCTGCTCCTGAATGACTCCATTAACGATGCTTTTGGCACTTTATATTCTGAAGTATTAAAAAGGCAGTCTGTTGCCAAATTATGAGAGTCCCCTTCTTCCTCAATCAACACCAAGGTCATGGGTTCAGTTCAGGAAAATGTCAAACTTTTTTCAACTGAACAGACATAAATCAGATATGCATATACACTATATTGCCAAACATATTGGAACACCCTCTTCTAATGAACAGGTTTGACTACTCTAGTAGCTTCCAGGAGTACAAATATTAATGTTGAAGCATATAATGATATTCTAGGGAATTGTGTGCTTTTAATTTAATAGCAACAGTTTGGACAGGAGCCTTTTGTATTCTAACACAGCAATGCCTCTGTGTATAATGCAAGGTTCAAAAAGAACTGCTTGATTGAGTCAGTGTGGAAGAACTTGACTGGTCTGAACACCTCTGGTGTGACTTAAAATGCAGACCTTGAGCCAAAAACTCATCAGCAAACACCAGTGACTTGTACATACAGCATATGGACAAAAGTATTGGGACACCCCCTTCTTTAGAACAGAAAAAGACACTTCCAAAACTGTGGCAACAAAGATGTGAACATAATTCATGTATTTAAAAACTGTACTGTGCGTGTGCCTGTGTGTGTCTGTGTCTGTCTGCGTGTGCCTGTGTCTGTGTGTCTGTCTGTGTGTCTGCGTGTCTGTCTGCGTGTGCCTGTGTCTGTGTGTCTGTCTGTGCCTGTGTCTGTGTGTCTGCGTGTCTGTCTGCGTGTCTGTCTGTGTGTGTCTGCCTGTGCCTGTGTCTGTCTCTGTGTGTGTGTGTGTGTGCGTGTGTCTGTGCGTGTGCCTGTGTATGTGCGTGTCTGTGTGTGTCTGTGCGCCTGTCTGTGTGTGCCTGTGCGCCTGTCTGTGTGTGCCTGTGCGTCTGTGTGCCTGTGTGCCTGTGTGCCTGTGTGCCTGTGTGCCTGTGCGCCTGTGCGCCTGTGTGTCTGTGCGCCTGTGTGTCTGTGCGCCTGCGTGTCTGTCTGTGTGTCTGTCTGTGCCTGTGCCTGTGTCTGTCTCTGTGTGTGTGTGTGTCTGTGCGTGTGCCTGTGTATGTGCGTGTCTGTGCGCCTGTGTGTCTGTGCGCCTGTGTGTCTGTGCGCCTGCGTGTCTGTCTGTGTGTCTGTCTGTGCCTGTGCCTGTGTCTGTCTCTGCGCCTGTGTGCCTGTGCGCCTGTGTGTCTGTGCGTCTGTGCGCCTGTGCCTATGTCTGTGCGCCTGTGCCTGTGTCTGTGCGCCTGTGCCTGTGTCTGTGCGCCTGTGCCTGTGCCTGTGTCTGTGTCTGTGCGTGCGTGTGTCTGTGCGTGCGTGTGCCTGTGCGTGCGTGTGCCTGTGTGTGCGTGCCTGTGCGCCTGTGTGTCTGTGCGCCTGTGCGTCTGTGTGTGCCTGTGTCTGTGTCTGTGTGTGCCTGTGTCTGTGTGTGCGTGTGCCTGTGTGTGTGTGTGCGTGTGCCTGTGTGTGTGTGTGCGTGTGCCTGTGTGTGTGTGTGCGTGTGCCTGTGTGTGTGTGTGCGTGTGCCTGTGTGTGTGTTGTGTGTGTGTGTGTGTGTGTGTGTGTGTGTGTGTGTGTGTGTGTGTGTGTGTGTGTGTGTGTGTGTGTGTGTGTGTGCGTGTGCCTGTGTGTGTGCGTGCGTGTGCCTGTGTCTGTGTGTGTGCGTGCGTGTGCCTGTGTCTGTGTGTGTGTGTGCATGCGCCTGTGTGTGCGTGCGCCTGTGTGTGCGTGCGCCTGTGTGTCTGTGCGCCTGTGTGCCTCTGTCTGTGTGTGTGTGTGTGTGTGTGTCTGTGTGTGTCTCCTGCAGCTGCTGTGGGTTCTGCTGGGTGCCACCATCATCGGGCTGCTGCTGCAGCGTCTGGCCGCTCGTCTCGGTGTTGTGACCGGGATGCATCTGGCCGAGGTCTGCAACCGTCATTACCCTACGGTGAGCTCCGGAGAAATACTGCACCTTCTGCTGTTTGGCCACTCGACAATTTAATAACCAGTTCAGCAAACTTTATTTATATAACACTCGTGTGTGTGTGTGTGCCTGTGTCTGTGTGTGCCTGTGTCTGTGCGTGCCTGTGTCTGTGCGTGCCTGTGTCTGTGCGTGCCTGTGTCTGTGCGTGCGTGTGTCTGTGCGTGCGTGTGCCTGTGCGCGCGTGTGCCTGTGTGCGTGTGCCTGTGTGTGCGTGCCTGTGCGCCTGTGCGTCTGTGTGTGTCTGTGCGCCTGTGCGTCTGTGTGTGCCTGTGTCTGTGTCTGTGTGTGCGCTAGCGTCATTTACTGTCAGAGAGTGACTTTGCGCTTTCATTCAGCCGAACTCTCGTTCTGTGATGTTTAGGTGTTTACATCAGTGTGCGCCTCTTTTACACAGCACTCATGCAGTGTTGGTCAATCAAAAAAATCATAAGATTTAAGATTTATTTATTAAGATCACGAGATCATAGGATTTATTTATTAGTGTTTTAAAGTTCCAGTTTCCAGTCAGTTTTGTGCGTGTTCATTACCACAGTGCATCATTACCAAAAACCAGCACGTCTTCTGTTTTGTGAAGGCTGAGAGGTTGGTGTGTGTTTGTAACTGTGTGTGGCGTGTCTGCAGGTGCCGCGGATCATCCTGTGGCTGATGGTGGAGCTGGCCATCATCGGCTCTGACATGCAGGAGGTCATCGGCTGTGCCATCGCCCTCAATCTGCTGTCGGTCGGCAGGTACGTCGTCATCATCTTCATCATCACGTGACTGACTCGCTTCATGTGTGCTTCAGCTGTGAGGATGATTAGCAGCTGACAATTATTCACGTTTTTGTTTTAATGCTAATGTATGTGGCACCAGCCGGCCTTTTTTTTTTTTTTTTTTTTTTTTTTTCAAAGCAATGGTTCACCCAAAAATGTCAAATGTGCTGAACATTTACTCACCCTCAGGCCATCCGTGATCTAGATGAGTTTGTTTCTTCATCAGATTTGTAGAAATGTGTCACTGCATCAGTGTCTCATCAATGGATGCTCTGCAGTCAATGGGTGCCGTCAGAATGAGAGTCCGAACAGCTGATAAAAACATCACAATAATCCACACCATGCATGGCCAAAATCATCCATAATAACTCTTCCTCCAGTGAAAAAGTGTTCTGGTGTGAATCAGGAGAGAAATCCGCACAGATCAAGCAGCGTTTAAACAGCTCTAAACAAATATGTGGCTGGATTTTGATGTGAGAGACAACAGCAGATGCACTTTTTCACTGGAGGAAGAGTTATTATGGATGATTTTGGCCATGCATGGTGTGGATTATTGTGATGTTTTTATCAGCTGTTCGGACTCTCTTTCTGACGGCCCCCATTGACTGCAGAGCATCCATTGCAGAGACACTGATGCAATGCTACATTTCTACAAACCTGATGAAGAAATAAACTCATCCTGATCTCGGATGGCCCGAGGATGAGCACATTTACAGCTCCTTTTCAGTTTTGAACTATTCTTTTAATAAACTGACATGTTAGTTTAACCTGTTATTTGTTCAGAGTGATTTAAGGACACTAATCAGTTGTTCCTCTGAAAACGGCTGTAAATGTCATTCTGATAAGCAATAATGAGCTCCTCGCAGTGTGAACTTGCAGTATGTTTGTTGCTGTCTTCTATTGAATGTTTGAATTGATCGAGGATGTGTAGAAATGGAGCTCATTGATCTTGTTGATGCTCTTCTGCAGGATTCCTCTGTGGGCTGGAGTGTTGATAACCATCATTGACACTTTCGTCTTCCTGTTTTTGGACAAGTACGGTAGGTCTGCACTGAAGGAGCGTGAGAGTGATGGCACCGGCTCGTATCGTGGCGCTAATGCGAGTGTGGTCTGTCGTCTTCAGGTCTGAGGAAGCTGGAGGCGTTCTTTGGGTTCCTCATCACCATCATGGCCCTCAGCTTTGGTTACGAGGTTCAGTGCAGCTGCAGCATGTTGTCAGCAGGTGAGTGTGTAAGCGCTCGGCGTGTGACGTGTCTCTCTGCTCTGGTTGTCTGCAGTATGTGCGTGTGGCTCCAGACCAGGCCGAGGTGCTGAAGGGCATGTTTCTGCCGTACTGCAGCGGCTGTGGACCCACGCAGCTGGAGCAGGCCGTCGGGATCGTGGGAGCCGTCATAATGCCTCATAACATCTACCTGCATTCTGCTCTTGTGAAGGTCAGTGAAAGGCTCACATCACATGTATGTGTCCCTGGAGCACAGAAGCACAGGGTTCGTACGGTCATGAAAAACCTGGAAAAGTCATGGAATTTTAAAACACCAATTTCCAGGCCTGGAAAAGTTTTGGAAAAATAAGGAAACCCAGAAAGTTTTGGAAAAGTCATTGAAATCTATTTCACAAAACTCTGTATAATAGAATTGTGTTTAATCAGGTCCTGAATTTCGGTGTGGGATTGCGCAGAGGCTGTATCGCATAGTTTTACTCCTTCCCGCAGCTTTTGACTTTAAAATGATGGATATTCACACAGTTATTCAATAGCCTATAGCATGTAGGTTTGATGAGTAAATAATCAAACCTACAGACTGATCAAATCAGTCATTTGAAAACAGCGTGAGTGATTCAGCTGTACGCGTCTTCTCTCTTTGACTTTCTCTTTCAAACGGCTTCACAT